GACAGAGTGAGACTCCAACTCAAAAAAAAAAAAAAGAACATTACATTAACATTCTTACTACCTTTGCACCTTTGTGTAAACATTCCCATAGGACAAATTCCAAACAGTATGAAACCGCTAGCTTAAAGCATATAAACATAATTTCAGTGGGTGCAAACCAATGTCCCTGCAAAAGATCCAAATACATCTACCAACTTTCTCCTGTATGCTCACAAAGACTAGTTAACCGAATCTTAAATCTTACAGGTTTTTAGCCAGACAGCAAAAAGAGCAGTCTCTAGTGCCCTCCTCCCTTGCCCCTGACTTTTCTTACTGACGCCGTCCCTCTTCTGTCATCTTATTAATTCCATTTATATGCTATTCTCACTTTACCATCTCCTTGAGTTGAAAAATTGGCTCATTTATTTTCAAATGTTCTGGCTTTCTAAAGAATGCAGCTACATTTGCAAAATTCCCCAAAAGATTTTCTATGTGGTGTACCACTGTCATTAATTTTGCTAAAGGGAATCATGTTGGATCATTTCTCTGTCTCACATGGACTTTGTGGTCATTTCAAGTGAGAGAGTCTACAGCCTTTGGTCTACACATTCAGTTCTGTTAATTTAGAACAGTTTTCTTGCACTGCATTTCTTTTCTTTTTTGTTTTCTTTTTCTTTTTTAGTTTTTGAGTTGAAGTCTCACTCTGTCACCCAGACTGGAGTACAGTGGCCGCTCCCGGCCACCGCAGCCTCAACCTGCTGGGCTCCCGCGATCCTTCCGCCTCAGCCTTTCAAGTAGCTGGAACTAGAGGCACACATCACCACGCCCAGCTAATTTTTTGATTTATTGTAGAGATGAGGTTGCACCAAGTTGTTCCGGCTGGTCTCGAGCCCGCGGGGTTCAAGTCATCCTCTTGCCTCGGCCTCCCAAAGTGCTGTGATTACAGGCTTCAACCACCGTGCTCAGCCTTGCACTGAATGTCTAAATACCTCTTTTTGGGTTCTGTACTTTCCGGACATCAATAATCTTTCTAAACTCTTCTAGTCCTTCTAACACAGTTCTGATCTTTTCTCCAAACCTTTTCAGCTTTGTCCCTGGCTGTTACTGAGAGTCGCTACAGTCTCTCCTCCACACCAGTGACTGTGTGCCAGGGAAGGCCATTTATGTTCTATATAATGTGAACGGTACCACTTGACAGTGACAGGCCTTCTAGCATATAGACATACAAGGGCACAAAAGAAGCCGGGCTCGGTGGCTCAGCCTGTAATCCCGCGCCTTTTGGAGGCTGAGGTGAGTGGATTGCCTGAGCCCTCAGGTTCGAGACCCGCCTGGGCAGGGAGACCTCATATCTACAATAAATCAAAAAATCAGCCGGGCGTGGTAGCGCGTGCCTGTAATTCCAGCTACTCCCAAGGCTGAGGTGGAAGGATCTCCGGAGCCCAGCAGGCGAGGTTGCGGTGGCCGGCAGCGGCCACTGCACTCCAATCTGGGTGACCGAGTGAGACTCCAACTCAAAACAAAAAACAAACAAAAAAAGGGCACAAAAGAAACCTGCATCCCTGCCCTGCACAGCATCTATTCTAGTGAAAGGAGATGCCAAGCAAGATAACAGTGACAGGTGGTGAGTGTGTCTGGGGCAGGGGGCTGGGGATATCATCCGAAATACGGCAGCCAGGGAAGCAGCCTTGAAAGCTTGCTTCTGCTCCTTGGGTTTAGTGTCCTCCGGACTAGAAGCTTTTTCTGAGGCTCGAGTGTTCCTTGGCTTACTTTCCCTCTATGGCTTATGTGCACAGTTGCCCCTGTTTCTTTACAGGACTCCTGTTCACGCTTTACATGGGAAGTGGCATCTAAAACTTCCATTTGCTCTGATGGAGTGCGAGCTGTTTCTCCTCCACTCCCTTCCTGCCTAGCCTGGCACTAACTGGCAGTTCCACTCTGCTCCCCACCAACAACAGTTTGATGGCGAATTGTGACCCTCAGTCACTGTTCTGTCATCTCCGGGAGCAGGGCTGGAAGCGGAGGAAATCTCTGCTGGGACTAAGTAGGTCCTTTGTGAGAAGCCTGGGTCCCACACGCTCTTCTGAGCATACGGCTTTAATGCCTCCTGCTGGGGCTCACCGCACCAGCCAGAGAACCCTCCACCTTCTGTGAGTGCGTCTGATGCCGTCCAGGGCCCTAGAATGGCACGCCCAGGAGAAGCTTTCTCCGCTGCTGAGGTCCCAAGGGACCTCATGTGTGCAGAGGGCTTTCCTGGGCCAAAGTTCTCGGACACTCTCAGTTAGCATCACTTCAGACTGCAGGGTGGCAAGATTTAATGAACTCATCCAGTCACTTGAAAGGGTAAAAAGCCAACATGCAGTGAATTCACTCATAGCGGAAACCAGTGCTTAACTCTGTCGTGCTTTCCAGAAACACACCAGTTTCCAAAGATTGTCAAGTTTCTTGACAATCCCTCCAACCCCCAGCAAGTTCCTCCTTACTAATCTCTTCTGAGTATTTGCCCTCCAGCTATGAAAGCCAAGGCCAGCTCAATCTATGATAACCAGCCTCCCAACTACTAGAACACCTGGAGTCAAGGGGCTGATGCTATCAACACCGGCTGAAATGATACAAAGTGAACAGAAAAACCCTTCTCTTCTCCCCACACAGCCAGTGTTTTCAAGATTCTGAGCCAACATCAAGGCCAAAGTTAACAGGCTGAGGAGTAATAAGGTTGGTCTTCCCCATTCCCTACTTCAGAGATGGCAGGCAAAGTAACAACTAGAGAACGAAACACCTGCACGACACAGATGTGGGTGCTTCCCAAAGACAGTCTGTGTAAGAAGAGCAAGATTTAAGAAACCACTCAACTCTGCTCATTACCCAGTGTGACTCTGACAGTGAAAAAGAGGGCACAAAGAGACAGATGACTTCTGCCACAGTCACCATGGTGGGGACCTGCAGCCGGGCAAAGGTAGACGTGAGGACCAGGAAAAGCCCCGTGCATTTCTCACACATTCTGCGGCCTGTTGGAAAGTTCCGCTTCCATTATGTCCCCTTCCTGATAATTACCCATACTTCTAAAATTAAGCATATAAGGAACCCAAACTTACAAACAGTCATCTGTGCTTTCTGCACAAAGACTGATCGTTTTCCCATCTCGGCAAACAATTTGCAGCATACAGTCTTTTGACTTCCCATCTGGAGGCTGAATATCTATGAAAAACAAGCAGAATAAAGGGATTTTTTTTCAGGTTTTCTGCTGACATATTGGAAGGCCTAACAGCTGAGATAAGCAAAGAACTAGATAACACGTCAAGTGCTACATCTCAGAAAGAACACTCTGCCTGACCAAGAAGTCAGGAAGAACACAGCTAGCCTGACTGGCAAGACCAGCTGCCCAGAAGACTTCCACAAAACGCATCCCTTTGAAATGAATGTAAAGGATGACTAACTTCAGGAAACCATGACACACCCCGGTTTCTAAGAAACTGACTGGAGTTGCCATCAAAGTTTCTGGGTATTTTTTACTCAGAAACTGGCATCTAGGGTGGCCCCGTTCTTCTTGAGGTTTCCAGCACCTGGCTCCCTCTCCACGAGAGGAAGGGACACGGCCGATGGGTCCAAGCCAGATGAGACACTGATTTGCCCCAACTATCTGGCTCATAACCTGGGTGCCTGGGACTGCCCTGCACCCCTCCCTGAGAAAACCCCTCTGGCCGTCCACGAGAGCAGAACCAGTGAAATGGTGAGGAGGAGGACGCAGCTCCCGCCGGGAACGAGGAAGGACGATGACCAAAGCGGGCCTAGGAGGCCGGCTTACCCCGACATTCCTGCCCCGCGCGGATATTGATGCAGTCCACTGGCATATGGACCTTATCTTCAACACTCTGCCGGGTCTGGTCGTCATAATAGATGAGGTGACCGTCTGACCACAGGTCAAACCAATTCTTCTTCCAGCGCTTCAAAATAGTGCCTGAAAAAAAACGGGATAGTTGGCTTTCTTTAGAGACAAGGTCTCAGCCAGGTACAGCAGCCTGCATGCATGTTATCCCAGCACTATGGGATCACTTGAGAGCAGGAATTTGAGGCCAGCCTAGGCAACATAGCAAGACCCTGTCTCCACTAAAAACACAAATAAAAAGTAAAGACCAGCCGGGCTCGGTGGCTCAGCCTGTCATCCCGCGCCTTTGGGAGGCTGAGGTGAGTGGATGGCCTGAGCCCGCAGGTTCGAGACCCGCCTGGGCAGCGAGACCTCATCTCTACAATAAATAAAAAAAAAACGAGCCGGGCGTGGTAGCG